GAACAAATTTTACCCGAGGGGGCCCTTTTCCCACAAAAAGGGGGGGTTTTTTGAACCCCCCGAACCCCCCCCCCCCCCCCCCCCCTGGCTACGGGCCTGAAATAGCTGTAATTTTGGGTAAAAATATTAGGACCAGTTTTCCACTTTTAAAGTTATTTTTGTGCCCTGCCCCTATGCTGTCTTAAAGATTCAAACAAGGAGATGTGACGTCATATTAAATCCAGAAGCGGTGTCGTCTTCTAATCTAGATCCTTCAGAGCCATCTGTCGATATCCTTCTTGCTACCGCGCATGCGCTGTTGACTCCCTGTCCTGCGCAGTTTGACGCCAATGTCACTGCCCACAGCAGAACAAGAGTCTGAAATGGAAATCAGATATGAAGTGTATTCAGTCATTTTATATATCACTTTATTTATTAAATTCTATATTTTAACATTATTTATTTATTTATTTTAAATTTATATTTATATTTTACTTATATATATTTTAATTAGGAACTTTATTTCAAATTCAGTTCATTTGAACATAGAACCGAAAGTTTGGCAATATGTGATGTAATCTTGAAATATAAACAGAAAATTTTTTGAAAATCTTGACAATAAAGATCTTTGACATAGGGATGTTTTCAAATAACCAGAATTTCATTGCCGTTACAATTTTATTTTTCCATATTAGATGTAAGAAACTGTCTTTGATCGAAGACGAAGTAAATATATGTAATGTCTGACACTTTTAAAGTCAATCTGTGCATTTGTCCTTCAACTTGGACGCCATGCGTTGTACTTAAACAAATCAACAGTTAAAATTCCACATATTCGATTATACATGTAAGTGACATATTGTCTGTATCGTGCGTTGTATCTTCAGTCTTATTTCAGCTTTGGACGCATATTTTAAATGTTTACGCGATGTTCAATCCCAGATTATCAATTCCCAGCGAGCATGTGTTCTGCATTATAAATAAGGCATCTGTTGATCAATGTTCGTATGTTACTGTTTGTCTGAGCGTTCGTATGTTACTGTTTGTCTGAGCTACTACTACAAATTCAAATCTAGCTATGGCAAAGAACGAAAGAAACGAAAAAGAAAAGAAAGAAAGGAAAAGAGAAGGAAAGAAAGAAAAAATAAAGTAAGAAGTAGGTATACAGGAAGGAAAAAAACGAAATAAAGACATGAAACCTACAAATTTTACAAGAATCTCAACTTTGAACGGGGGTTAAATCAAAATTTAGTCCGTTTCACATCTCCTGTTGATATCACGTGCTCTTACCTAACAAATCACGTGTCCTTAACTGACAAAAACCGTGTTCCTCTCTGACAAACCACGTGTTCTTAGCCTACCTGACAAATCCTCCACACACTTCACCAGTAGCCTGTTGGTGCGAGGGGAGTGGGCCAGCGTTCCGTTGTCATGGAAACTGAGTAACTCGACTTCCTCCTTCCTCCCCAACCTCCTTGGACTCCCATTGGAGATCGCAGCGCGGTGAGATCGCGGACTCATCATCTCGAGACCGGCCTGATACACGTGACGCCAGTCCTTGACGTCACGCCGCTGTTTACGTGAGCTATCTAGCGTATGGCTGCGGACGTCAACACGAAGAGGGGTGA